CAAGGTCCAAATCAGGAGCAGAAGGAGAGAGAGCACAAGCAAGGAACTCAGGACCGCGAGGGGTGCACCCACACACTGAGACAATGGGGATGTTCTATCGGGAACTCACCAAGGCCAGCTGGCCTGGATCTGAAAAAGCCTGGGTTAAAACCGGTCTCGCTGAACATAGCGGACAATGAGGACTACTGAGACCTCAAGAACCATGGCAATGGGTTTTTGATCCTACTGTACCTATTGGTTTCATGGGAGCCTAGGCAGTTTGGATGCTCACCTTCCTAGACCTGGATGGAGGTGGGTGGTCCTTGGACTTCTCACAGGGCAGGGAACCCTGATTGCTCTATGGGCTGACGAGGGAGGGGGACTTGATTGGGGGAGGGGGAGGGAAAGGGGAGGCGGCGGTGGGGAAGAGACAGACATCTTTAATAAATAAATAAATAAAACACACACACGCGTTCAAATCTACACATTATTTAGTAAAACATGTGCCTTAAATTGGTGTTTACAATATGTAATTTAGAGTCATGAAATGAACATGTTCACAAAACTTTTGAAAAAGAAGAAAATTGTAAAGTAGGATTAAAACATATTAAAGAATTTAAGGTTAAAAGCTATCTTATTTGAGAAAAGTTTAATAAAATTAAAGTTAAACCATCTTCCTGAAGAATATGTCTTGCTTTAGAGAGCCCTGAAAGTCCCTTCATTGTCATTATTTTGAGTTAACAAAATAGAGGCATGAAATCACATTTCTTGAGAACTGAAGTAATGAAGATCTAGGGCTGTAGCTATTGTTTTGGAACTGAATTATAAAGAATTGATGGGTAGCGGAAGAATAAAAACATCCTCGATAAAAGATGGCATGCTGAAAAAACCAGGAAAATATTTAATATTTTTATTCAGACTCATGCCAAAAGAAAGTTCAAAGACTTTAGCTGCGACTGAAGACCGTTTCACGAAACCAATTATTTCCAACTGTTGTTGGGAGTAGCCAATTCAAAGTTAGATTGAAGTTAGACTCCTGCACGATTGATGAGAGACTGTTAAACCATCATAATAACTCAATATTCCTTCTCCTTCCTTTTCTGTGTCAACTCAATATATCATAATTTAAGTTTCATAGGACATCCATCCTTTGACTCTTTTCCATTGACTGGCACAAATGGTCCCAGGAAGAGAGTTCCACTCTGATGCTATTATTAGGTAACAAAGGCTGAGAACTGCATGTTGAGAATGAACAGCTCAGCTCCACAAATTCTGTACTGTCTGCCTGTGGGTTATGTGACAAATAATTCATTTAAACAGTTTTGTAAATATCACTTGTAAATCTCCCACCTCCGTCTGAAAAAGAAATGCAGAATCCCCCTACATAAATAATATTTTTCTGTCAAATAACCACTCCCACCATCACAGATATTACCTAGGTATTTTTGTTCTACTGTGAAAATTCTGCTCACTCTCAAAAACACACCTTATATGCTTCATTAAATGCATTGTTCCTGAAAGTGGTTCCCTATCGCATCAGCAAATTTACAGGGCTAATTTCAGCATGAGTTTACTATCTAAGCTTCCTTAGGAATAAAAAGAAATAGGTATTGCAGAAGAAGGTAACCACTTTAAAATTTCTTTGTGAACATACAGATCAGATAAAATAAATGCTCCTTTAAGAAAGTAATTCTTTTGACTTACTTAATATAGTAGGGCACTTTGTTTGGTGAGATGGCTCTCTCCCAGGGACCCTGGACCGAAGCTGCGAAAGGATGAAAAAGAAAGGCAAAGAGGTCAAATTCATGACAAACAGGAAAGACAGCATTATAGCACCAGAATCACAATTTTACACTAATATTGGTCTGTTTGCTCAGTTGCTCATGAAGACAGGCTGTGTTAATTTGCTGTTGTGAAATTTCGGGCCTACACTAAGTAAAATTGAATACATTCAGGCACAAAAATTAATGCATAGGGCCAGGAGGATCTTTCTACTGCTAACCCTATACTAGAAATAAAGAAAATGAATCAACAGACTGATGGCTTTGCTCCACAGAGTGCTTCCCTTATAATATTTCCTGTTATTGCTTTTCAATATTTTGTTATTTGATTGACTGGGTTTTATTAGTTTATCAGATGAAACATCGCCCTGCGATATATTTGCATTCTAAGTTATTGAAATGAAGATAGTATGCTTATTAATCTGGTATGCTTATTTTTATTTGATTAAAGAGGATCCAAATCCATTTACCAATTACATGCTTAATTGGGTATTTTAAAATGTCAGTTGTTCACCATATTATTAGAAGAGACAAGCAAAGGTGACAGAATGACACCTGATAATAGCAAAGGATAATAAAATTTTATTCACAGTCTGGTCACATATATGTGTGCTGCTTGCACTTGGAATTCATTTAACGACTTTATTATATATAAGTCAAACCAATTATCTTTAAACTGTTCATTTTTTTTTAATTTTAAGGTGAGGCCCCATTGTGTATGTCATACTGACCTTCAACTTATGGTTCCCCTTTCTTGGCTTCCTGGGTAGCTAGGGTTATAGGTGTGTGCTATAATTACCAACATTTCAACTTTTTTAAATGCTTAACTAGTAGGTTCCCCCCTTCTTTACTAAAGCTGATCCACTAAAAGTATCTTTTATGTCCTGCTTATGTCTGATATTTTCTCCCCTGAAGACAAAATAATCTTGTTGAAAAGGCACTGTAACTTCCTCTAGAATAAAGTTTTAAGATATGGGAATTTCAAGAATCATACATCCTGTGTATCCTGGGTTCAGCATTTTGTACAGACAAAACAAAACACAGGATTGTGATATCATTTGAAATAGAAATATAAAAAGCATGATCTATTAATTCTCTGTGTGTGTGAGTGTGTGTGTGTGTGTGTGTGAGTGTGTGTGTGTGTGCATTTCTGAATCTTCATCCCACTAATAACTGGAAGCACAGCTGATGCTATTATTGCCTTCACTGAAAATCTCACAGTAAATTCACAGTGTATTGAGATGGAAGAAAACGTCAAAGCGAATATATCCTTGACTCCGCTGTATAATATGAAAGAACAGCTTCTAATAAAAGTTAACTTGCCCCATGCCAGACAATTTAAGGATAATGAAACTCCAGCTTCTTTGTTTTATATAGAGTAATAGAGAGATTGCATTACCCAACCTTTAACCAGGCTTTGTCCCTTGGAGATATGTCATTTAAATGATATAAGAAATGGATTTGTATTTAGCAGGTAATTATGCTTTTATCATTTTTTTGCAGACAGAAATCTTAACAGGGAGAAAAAAAGACATTTAGCTGTTGCTTTGAAATAGTCCCTTGTCTTCAATTTCTCTCGGTCCTTTTATATTTTTTTCTTTTCTTTTCACCTTGCTTTCCCCTCTTGCCTTTTCATCCCGCCTTTGTCACTCTCTGCCAACTCTTTACTTGCCCTCCCCCCCCTTCTCTGGGTTACAGTTTTTTAACCCTGATTACTTCACATTTGTAAATAATATTTGCTTTGAAAACATGGGCTAGACTATGCAGGCTATCTGGTCAGATCTGAGGTTTTGAGATTCTACCAACCCAAGCCTGGCTTTGTAGGTTGATTAGTGAAGTCTCTTCTTGAAAATCGTGTCATGTATATATAAGGAAGAACAGAACTCCAGAGAGTATTTGGTGGTCTCACCCTTGCTGGCTGTGAGGGTATGAATGGTTAGACTGACAAAAGAAAGGGTATTCCTTCCTTAAAGGTCTCCAAGAAACCAAGGCTTTGTGATTTCTCTCATCATTTTTTCTTAGTTATTTATCATTATAATGAACCGGAAATTTTTTCTGATTCCGAAGAGGAGGTATTCCCTCTTGTAACAAAAAAAAAAAAAAAAAAAAAAAAAAAAAAAAAAAAACAGTTTGTTTCTCTAGATGGTTCTTTCTTAGGTATCTCTTCAAAGGAATTGTGCTGGAGATGATTGTAGGCTCTGCAGCTTGGCTACGTGACTTGCTATAGCAAAAGAAGTAGAGTTGGGAGTCAGCTTGGGCTACATAGCAAGACTTGATATCAAATAAGCAAAACAAAGAGGGAACTTTCAACTGTATAATACACAAGAAAATCCACGATACTCAGCAGAGCTAACAGCCAGATCTACCTAGACATGTCTATGATTAACTTTGCATTGTTCAACATCCAGAGGAAAAAATCCATTTATGTGTCAGAGGAATTATCACAATATGCTTATTAAATAATTGGAAAAAATTAAAAAAAATAAAAATCCAAGTTCCAGTTAAATAAAAACTTTTCAACATCCTAAGCCATCAGAGAAATACAAATCAAAACAACCCTGAGATTCTATCTTACACCTGTAAGAATGGCCAACATCAAAAACACTGATGACAACTTATACTGGATAGGATGTGGGGTAAAGGAAACACTCCTGCATTGCTGGTGGGAGTGAAAACTTGTACAGCCCCTTTGAATATGTATGGCGATTATTCAGAAAATTAGGAAACAACCTTCCTCAAGACCCAGCAATATCACTTTTGGGTTTATACCCAAAGGATGCTCAATCGTACCACAAGGACATGTGCTCAACTATGTTCATAGCAGCATTGTTTTTTATAGCCAGAACTTGGAAACAACCTAAATGCCCATCTACCAAGGAATGAATAAGGAAAATGTGGTATATTTACATAATGGAGTACTACACAGAAGAAAAAAGTAATGACTGCTTGAAATTTTGCAGAAAAATGGATGGAGCTGAAAACATCATATTGAGTGAGGTAACCCAGACTCAGAAAGACAATTATCATATGTATTTACTCATAAGTAGTTTCTAGACATATAGTAAAGAAAACCAGCCTACAAATTATAATCTTAGAGAACCTAGACAACAATGAGGACCCTAAGAGAGACATACATGGATCTAATCTACATGGGAAGTAGAAAAAGAAAAGATCTCCTCAGTAAATTGGAAGCATGGGGACCTTGGGAGAGGGTAGAAGGAGAGGGAAGAGGCAAGGAGGGGAGCAGAGAGAAAGGTAGAGCTCAATAAAAAATTGTATGCTTCTGGGTGATTTGCTTGCATTTATGTGCCAGAGGAATTCTTGTACGTGTTTTACATACACAAGTGTGCACCATGTGCATGCTTGATGCTCAAGAGTGATAGGAGTGGGCATCCCTTGCAACTGGCATTACAGACAGGTGTGAGCTGACATGTGGGTGTTGGGTTGAACTCACACCTGTGCTCTTAACCACTAATCCATCTCTCTAGCCCCGATAAAAGCTTCTTAAACTTTCTTACTTACAGTTCTTCATTGTTTTTTCTCCTTAAAATTTAAAAAGCAAAGCAATGGGAAACCCTAGTCTTTATGCCTACGCATCAATTAGATCCAGTGTGAAGTGCAGGGCATTGTGCTCTCATAAAAGATGAGTTTCCCCTTTGACGCACAATTTATAAAGTCACCCAAGCAACTACTTTTCAGTAACAGTTTGAAACCCTGAAATTTTATTCTCAAAAATGCCTTTTATTCAGTTAAAAATAAGAAAAAAAATAACCCAGCCTCCTTCTATTCCTTCCCTTCCCCATTACCGCTAGATGCCCATCTGCTGGACGGAAGTGCTTGCTGTAGAAATAACACAGTTGAACGATGGGGCTATCGGACTGCATTTGGCACTTCTCTGAAGAGAAGGTCAATGGGACGTTGGCAATTTCATTCAGAGCTACCCGATGACTCTGACCTTGCATCTGTTCAAACCTCAATCAAATGCGGGGTGATTCTCATAGGTGTACCCCAAGAATTATCGTTTCATTTCTCATCGCAGCGCTGATGCAAACAACAGCTGTCTCTTATCTCAGTGCGCCAGTGGAACCCTGTCATTGTTCACAAAGCTGGCTTTCGTAATACACACATCTTTTATGTCTGGTGTGTCCAGTTTTCGTAGTCCATCAGAAGCAGACTTATTGACAAATAATTTTTATATGACACCAGGCTGTCCTTTGGCATTTTCTTATACAGATGTTTCTATAACTACTATGTGTAATGACGATTGGTGTTTTGCAATTTACATTCTCCAGTGGAAAAATCATTCATTATCATCCAGCACCGGTACCATGGATATTGTCTACTGAATTTAAAGTGTAAAATATACATGAATTTATTTCTTCCAAAGTCAACCTTTGAATTTCACCCTGAGTTACAGATGCAGCATGTTATTAAGAACAAGAATTCTACCTTCAAATGTTTTCTTCCCTCGAGGTGCCATGATTCAATATTGTGCCCAAGGTGCTTTGAGAATTGTAAACATGGGCCACACTATTGAGAGAAAGCTCTGATTTCAACCATTTTTTTTGATGCACGATAAAGAATGTGTCAAGTGATGCATGCCAGTGTTAAACTGCATTTTTATTGACAGAGGGGCCTAAGCAACGAATTAAGGACACTAATGTTGTAAAGCATGCCAAAAGAGCACTCTCTGCAGTCCCAACTCAAATGCAATCATTAACCTTTCGACTTTACTCAGAGTTTGAGAGAAGATGGCTGTGTCAAAAGAAAACCAAAACAAAGTGGGGAAAAGAAGAGAAACATGAAAAATAGATAAAAGAGCAAACTCAACTTCTATGTTTAAAAAAAAGCATTAGGGAGACAGGGATAAACTCAGTGGCAGAACACTGGTCTACTACATGCAACATGGTCCGTCAGAAAGAAATAGAAAAGAAAAGAAAAAAGTAAAGAGAAAGGCTTCAGGACCAATCAGTGAGCCAGCTGG